GATTTAATTAAGTTATTGTTAATTATCTATTGGTTTAATGTAAGTGGCTATTGTTCGGGACAAACAATACTAAAGAAGAGGCAGTGTTACGACATCAGAAGCCATGTGACGCTGATGAGTTTCTCGAACGATCGGGAAAGTCCTAGTGTGTTCGAGCTGCCCTCTTCATTATTATATAAGCCTGGCAGACAAAGCCAGCAGGAATGAATGAAAAGAAAGCAGTAGTTACTTTGCGTTCTGTGTAATTTATGATTCTGATAGTTTCGAGCTAGTGAGCCATAAAGTGTGTGTTTTGCACTCGTCGAGAGTGAAGTTATCGAGATTGTGAATCGCTGTGATTTATAGCGTGTATTATAAAACTTGTTAAGTTTAAAGTGACGAGAAACGTGCTGATTGTGGAACTTCTGTGTACTAAAGGTTTGTATCGAGGAAGAATAAACTGGTTTAATGAAGAAAGGACTTGTACTTCTGAAAATCCTCAGAAATAATTTCTATTGGAAACAAACAAATAAGCAGATATGTAACATTTAGTTTCATAACGTATAATAGAACTGATAAGGAATAAATGATTATACTATAACTACACTATTTTGTAGATACCTTAGAAATATATATTTTTCCAGATTTTCATAATAGAGTTACTAGTGAATATTAATTGAAGATTTCTCAGCATACTTCATCATAAAAAATAATTCCTGGTGATTTATAATTTTTTGTTGATGAAATATTAAATTACTATAAAAGTTTATATCTGAAAAAAATCAGGATTAGTACCCAACAACCCAAACCAAAAAAAACCAAGTATTCATTTTTTTGCACAACATGTTATTTTATTTGCTTTATACGTCCTTAGAATAGATGCATGTGTTATTAAGTTATAATAAATGCTTTAGCATTGTGATAGCTAATGTTTTGTGCATTAAAAGGAAAAATATACAAGTACGGATAATCTATATACTAACAAAGCACTATCTGATGTGGTCAGAAATCATAGACAGGAGGAGTAAAAATTCAGAAATGTGAAACTTTTTTGTTCCAAAAATTTTGTTCAAAATTACAAACAAAAACCCACTGAAATATTAGGTGGGTTTTGGTATACATGTTAAAATATTTTTCATTTCTTTCAAAATTTCCGTCATGTCAACTTACCAGCACACAAAAGAGGCGTGAACTGGAGGCTCGGCAAGAAAGGGAGAAGGAAGTGATCAGGGATTGTCGGACGTTATTTGAGGTTGGCTTCCAGCACGATCAGCATAGAGATCCAGTACATAGGCCTACCTCAGCAGATTCAGTTAATACCAGCACCGCTGGAGATTATGACCATGACAGTAGGCTTGACATAGAAGAACAACATGAACTGCCAGCTAGGTTAGAAAACTCAGAAACACAGACAGAAGCATGTGCAGAGATGGCCCAAGAAAGCTACAAGAACCAGCATTTAACAGAAAACAAGCCCAGGTCATGTGGGGTTGATATTGAACTCTGCCCATCAGACATCCCAACTAAGGATTATATAGAAGACATGATTTGGAAAGGGCCTCTGCCTCACCTAAAATATTTCCTTAATGATTTTACCGGACGAAAATTTCTAATGTTTGTTCTCAAAGTCAGAACATCAAATGGCGAAAGCGAGAGCAGACGATGGCTTGTATTCAGTCCTGGAAAACAGTCTTTGTATTGCATACCTTGTAGGCTTTTCTCTCATACAGTGGGCTCACAACTGCAAAGGTCACAGTCAATCATGGCATCCACAAAAGGCTGGGGTACAGAACAGAAATGGAAAAAGCTGTTTGACAGGTTGCCTCAACATGAAAACAGTACAGCACACAAGAATTGTTATCTAGCATGGCGTGAGTTGGAGAAGAGGTTAGAAAGTGATACTGGGAGTGATGTGATGTCTCACAAAGTAATCATGAGCGAGACTGAGAAATGGCGAAATATACTTACGAGGATAATTGATGTAATAATTTTTCTTGACCAGGGAGAAATTGCTTTACGTGGCTCATCCCAGTGAATTGGCGACATTCATAATGGGCACTTCTTGGGTATCATTGAACTCCTAGCCAATTACGATCCAGTTCTAGTCGAACATGTTGCAAAGATACGAGCTTCGGAAGAAAAAGGTGAATGGCTTCAAGATCACTGTCTCTCAGGATCATCTCAAATTGAATTCATCAGTAACTGCGCAGATTATGTTCGGAGTCACATTTTGGATGAAATAAGAGTCGTAAAATATTATTCAATCATGGTTATCTAACAACGGATTCTAGCCATGTGGAGCAGACAACGTTCATCATTCGTTATTTGGCCAAGGATGATACCGAATTTGTATTACAAGAACGATTTTTAACTTTTGTCGATTGTTGTAAGAAGACGGGGGCTGAATTAGCAAGCCTGATTATGGAAACACTCAAGAATTTTGGGATACCTATTAAAGATTGTCGTGGACAGGGTTATGATAACGCTCCCAACATGTCTGGCAAATACAATGATACCCAACAGCACATACTTGCTGTTAATCCACTGTGCATTTATTCTCCATGTGCCTGCCATTCACTAAACTTATGTGGAGTAGATTCTACATCATGTTGCACGAAGGCAGTTACATTTTTTGGAGTAGTGCAAACAGTTTACAAATTGTTTTCTTCCAGTCCTCAGCGCTGGGCTATTCTCAAGGAGCATGTGGGCGAATCCATCCATGATTTGACAGGTACTCGTTGGACAGATCGAGTGGCAAGTGTGAGACCATTTGCTGCTGATCTTGCTGAAATATGACTAGCACTAAAGAAACTTCTGTCTTTCAATCTCACGCCAAAAACCATTAATGAAGTCAATGGTGTAATCAAATACGTGTCATCCTTCATTTGCATCCTTATGTCATCGATGTGGCTGAAGATTCTCGTACAGATCGACAGGAGAAATCAGATCATCCGGGCAAGAGATGCTACAGTAGATGTAGAGGTCTCAAATCTAAAGTCGCTCTTGGCCGATATTGAAGATCTACGTGGGAAATGGCCACAGATTTTAAATGAAGCGAAACTGGTTGCTGAGGAAATCGAAATTGAACCCCATCTCCAATCAAAACGGGAAGTTAAAAAAAGAGCAAGATTTATTGTCATTGAGGAGGATGAACAAGGGGAGAACGTCCTAGAAAATCCTTGTGATGGCTCTGATGAGACTGAATCTGAATTCAAACGGAATGTCTTCTTTGTTGTCGTTGATTCGGTGATTGACGGAATGTCAAAGCGGTTTGACGCTGCAAACATAATTAATAGATTGTTCCGCATTCTGTGGCAATATCGAAGAATGACAGAAGAGGAACTCAAACTTGCATGCGCAAGATTAGTGGACAAATACCAAGACTATCTCTCAGAATCCATGCAAGAGAAAATGAGGCACCTTAAGGCAATACATGTATCAAACTTTGGTGAAGATATAGGGCCGTATCAACTTTCAAAAACAATAAAAAGGTACAAGTTAGATGGCATTTTTCCAAATGTATGTATTGCACTGCGAATATTCTGAACATTGCCAGTTACAGTAGCATCTGCTGAGAGGTCTTTCAGCAAACTAAAACTCACCAAAAGCTTCTTGAGGAGCATGATGACACAGGAGAGACTGAATGACCTAGCCGACCTTAGTATTGAGAGCGAACTTGTGGGGAGAATTGACTTCAGTGAAATAAAAACATTTGCTTTAAAAAAGGCACGTAAAGCATGTTTCGTTTAGTTATCACAATTCTGCATTACTGACCCCGTTAAAGTAATTCTTGACAATGTGTTTGAACTTTAAATAAATTATCCTATTAAATGAATAGATATTATTGATTGTTAAAGGCCTTTGTCCACGGAAAATTTCACAAAGGAAATCGGCACTTTAAGCCGTAACTTAGTGGTGTTAAGACTTAAAATATTGCTAAAATTACTAAAAGTTTAGAGCTTCCCTCTTGGTCTCCCATCAGCGGCTCAGATCCTGGATCCCGCTGGAGCCCGGGGCCCGCCGCCACTTTCGACGGCCCTGGCTACGGTCCACATAACTATCATAGTGTAATGATTAATGTAATTCTAAATATGCGTTTAGAACCCAAAGTTTCTATAATTATCATAACTTAATCATTAATGTAATTCTAAACGTGTTTAACAGCTACAGTCTCTATACCCCCGTAACATACTGGTTAATCTAATTCTAAACATCTCTTTAATATCTGTTGTCTACTTAATCTCCATATGATGTTAATTAAGGAAATTTCAAACACGTGTTTAATGGCTACGATTTACATATCTCCCATAACACACTGATTAATGTAGTTCTAAACATGTGTTTAATAGCTATGGTTTACACATCCCCCATAAGACACTGATTAATGTAGTTTTAAACACGTGTTTAATAGCTTTGATTTCCATATCCCCCATAACGCTGAAAATTTAAGCTCTTATACTCAGGTTATAGATTTCTGAAAGTTATTTAAGTTAGAGTTTAGAGGTGTAAATTATTACTACAACGTTAAAATAGGTCATAACTTAATTTTGTCTGGGATACTGCCCAGAATTAATTGTGGGGATGAAGTTGTAAGTAGGTCACTAGGGCTAATGCTAGGCTTAGGTTACTATGTAAGATGAGCAGATTGGTTGGACTTGTGGGATCAGTTCAGTGGAAGAAGGGAGGTTTTTGGAATGGATGGTTTATATTTAATATAGTAGAGGTGGCTTGTTTGTTGAGGCTATTATCTCAGTTGTAAGGGAAGTTTTAAAGTAGGACTAAAGAGGACCAGGAAAAACTGAATGCAAAAAAATAAGAGGCAGAGAAAAGTTGAGCATAGGAAATGAGTATTGAAGTAGTTATAAGGATAAGCTTAATTGTTAATATTGTAATGCTAGAAGTGTAAGAAATAAAATAGATGACTTTAGAGCACTGGTAGGAATGGAAGATTGTGATATAATGGGAATAACTGAAACATGGTTAATCATAGATGATTTTGATGACAGAAATTTCTTTGAAATACAGGGTTACAGGCTAGTTGATAGGGATAGAGTTGAGGATATTAAATATAATAGCAAAGAGATTGAATATATTTGGGTTTCTATTAGTGGCTATAAAGGGAAAAGGCTTTTAGTGGGAATTTGTTACAGACCACCAAATGATATTGATTAAATTAGTGAGAAACTTTACAATGAGATTAAGATTGCAGCTGTTAATGAAGTCATAAGTATGGGTGATTTTAATTTCAGGCATATAGATAGGGAAATGCTAGAGTCAAACCATGAGTGAGAATGTTTTTTGAAACTGTTCAAGATGGCTTTCTTCCCCAGTTAGTCAAGGAACCAACATGAAACAATGCTATTTCAGATTTATTGTTAACTTCAAATACAGAAATGATCGAGAGGGTGGAAATTGGGGAACTTCTGGGTGCAAGTGATCATTGCTCTATTAGGTTCAATGCTTTCCTGTATATGGAAAATAAGTAATAATGATGTTTTGGTTACAAATTTCAAGAAGGCAAATTTTGAAGGAATGCGACAAGAATTATCTGTTGTGAATTAGGCAGCTGAGTTATTTGGAGACACTGATCAGATGTGGAAAACTTTTAAATATTTAAGGTAAACATATTCCTTAGAGAAAGGAAAAGTAGCTGCAAGTAAAAAAAGTAGACTGGCTCACAAATAGCTCAAGAGATAAAATTAAAGAAAAGCATCATAACTTTAAGAAATTTAAATTGATTGGACAAGAGATTTAAAAGATTATAGAAGATAAAGAAAGTTGGTGAAAAAAGGAAATTAGGAGATCAAGAAGAATGTATGAGAAAAGGTTGGCTGAAAATGTAAAACGTAAGAGTAAGGATTTCTTTAAATACTTTAATGGTAAATAAAATGTTGGGATAGAGATTGGACCCTTGAGGGATGATAAAGGAAGGCTAGTATCTGATTATTATAAGATGGCTGGGTAATTAAATTTGGTTTTTCTTTAGTTTTTACAAACGAAGATTTAAGCAGCATTCCTCATCTTGAACAGGTGATAAATGGAAACAAGATCGAAATAGGGGACTCCATTAATTCTGAGCTGGTTAAGAAAAAAATGGGAAGTTTAAAAAACGATAAGGCTCCAGGACCAGATAATATTTCCTCAAGGGTTTGAAGGAGGTTAACGATTAGATATGTGAGCGACTTACTACTATTTTTTGTCAGTCCTTGAATAGTGAGCAGGTACCAGAAGATTGGAAGTTAACTAATGTAACGCCTCTTTTTAAGAGCGGTGATAAAAACTGTCCCAGTAATTATAGACTCATTAGTCTTACATCAGTTTTGGAATGTCTGTTAGAAGATGCTTTGGAAAGTCACTTAACAAAGTTTAGAAGTTTATTGGATAGTTAACACGGTTTCACTAAGGGAAAATCTTGCTTTATAAATCTTTTGACATTCTTTAAAAAGGTTACTGTTTATGAAGATGAGAGTAAGGGTGTATATTTGGTGTATCTGGATTTTCAGAAACCATTTGACACGGTGCCACATAAAAGGCTTGTAAAAAAATTACCTCTGTAGGTGTGGGGAATAAGTTAGCAAATTGGATAGAAGAGTGGCTGGATGGAGGAAAGCAGAGGGTTGTTATAAATGGAGTTCAGTCTAACTGGATTAATGTCACAAGTGGGGTCCCTCATGGATTAGTGTTAGCCTGTGCTCTTTTTGATTTACATCAATGACATAGATGAAGGAATAGTCAATAGATTACTTAAATTTGCAGATGATATTAAGGTCTTGAGTGTTGCTAGCTGTGAAGAGGATGCTGCTGATTTACAAAAGATTTAGATCATTTAGTGAGTTGCACAAATAAATGGCAGATGGGTTTTAGTTATAATAAATGCAAGATAATGTATGTAGGTTATCATGATTTGAATTATAAGTAGAATTTGGATGAGAATAGCCTTAATAGTGTTATGAAGGAAAGGAATCTTGGTGTAATAGTCGATCAGTCTCTAAAACTATCCAAGCAGGGTGATGTTGCTAGTGGTAGGGCAAATAG